CCCAGGTAACCGCCCGGTTCGGTCCGACCCGGTCCCCTCAGCGGGGCCTGGAGCCGCCTCCCCGCCGCGGGGTCCCGCTCCGGCCCCGCCGCCGCTCATTGTTCGCGGCGCGCGGGGAGCGGGTCCCGCTCGCCCTCGGCGCCCCCTCCCCTTGCCCGCGCTGCAGCTCCCCCTCCCCCTTTGAAAAGGGGGAAAAAAAAAAGGAAAACGGGAAAGAAAATTTTAAAAAAAAAATGGTACCGGGGAAAAGTTGTGTCCTGCGGGGGGAGCCGCTCCCGCCACAGTGCGGGAATGTGCCCGGAAAGGGGGAGAATCCGCCCAAATCTCCCCAAAAAAGCTCCCGGGCAAAGGGCCCCCGGGCCGCTTCGCCTTCACTCGGGGCTTCTGGTTGCTGGGTGCGACCTTTAATTCTCTAAAAAATAAATAAAAGCGATATATAGTACAAATAAAATGAATAATACGCTTTTTCTTTTGCATTTGCAGGCAAGCCAAAGAAAACGAGCTCCCTCAGCCGCCCTTTCTGCTTCCCTTGTGGGATTTGGGCTGCATCATCTCCGAGCCCATTTAAAGAGGGAAGGGGAAAAATACAAGACAACAGCAAGGAAAAAACGCCAGAAGCCAAGGAAAACCCCCCAAAAAGAGAGCCCCGAGCATGCGGCTGTGCGGGAGGACGTGGAGGGCCCGGCTGTGCTAGTGCCCGCAGCCGGGGAGGGGAGAGCCCGGGGGTCTCGCCCGGTGGATGCCGGTTTTGGTGCAGGGAGGCCAAACTGCCGCCTCTTCCCCCCGCAGCATCCGCGTGCCGCGCTCCGCCTCGCTCCCCATGGACTGAGCCGGGGGCTTTTCCCTTTCCCGTTTTTCCCGGGGAGGAGAGGGGGAATCGAGGCGTTGCGGCGCGCGGCCGCGCTTCTCCGCTGCGTTCCGGGGGCTCCGCGGGGAGGCCGAGCTTTTGGGGAGAGAAAACATGACGTCGCCGGCCAAATTCAAAAAGGATAAGGAGATCATAGCGGAATACGACACGCAAGTTAAAGGTAGGAGCTGTTTTCTTTTCCTCGCTGCAGTCCTGGCTTGGAAATGCAGGAGTTCACGGGAGACGTTTGGGTGGGGAAGGGGGAACCATTTGCAGATTGCCTGGAATTTGCAGGGCTTTTTCGTCGCGCGACTGCAGGGCTTTTTCTCCCCGCCATGGGGTGGGTTCCTACCGTGGTGTGTTCCTGCCAAAAGCCAGCCCAGGAAGGGGATTGTTTTACTGGATGCAACAAATCTTTGGCTTCTGAGATAGCGATATTTTTTTATGTCTGCTCTAAAATGCAGTTAATTGCTTTTTAATCCTCCTTTTATCATAGGGAATCTCTTAAAAAACCTGTGTAGTGTCAGAGGCCCATGACAGTGTTGCAGACCTCTGCCTAGGGTCTTTGCACAGCAATTTGTGCTAGAAAGTTCCATTATTGAGGATTTTGTTCGTGCTGAGCCCATAATGTTACTGCCTGCCCTTTTTTCCCTTGCTGTGCTCTTGAGTGTCACACCTTAAGGCTGCATTTTTTGTGTGTATGCACATACCTATACACATACAATTAAATAAAGCTCCTATATCTTATAACAGTGGTATTCCAGGTGTCGTAAGGAAGGTAGTGAGGAGTGAGAGGGATATTTGTAATGGTAATGCGAGTGTTCTGCAGAAGCCTCTTGGCTGGGTTTCAGAGTATCATGTGCCCTGGGTAAAAAGGATGGTGAAATGTCTGCATAGCTGCTTACCCTTGCGAAATTTTCAAAATGACACTTATATAAAGCGACATATATATCTATTTCTTGTGTATGGCTCGATATCGCTGTTAGAAACTTAGGGGATTTTGTGATTTGTCTAATTGGTTAAAACTTGCTCGCTCTGCGCCTAGCAGGCAGGAAAGATGGCCTTTGGGCAGGGTTGATTGAGTTAAATCAATGCGATTAAAAAAATAGTAACTTAAATGTGAGTAGGAAGTCTAGATTAAAACTGGCAATTAAAATGCTATTTTGCAATTACGTGCTCAGCTATTTTTCCTAGTTGGGAGGCTTTGTCCCTGGTTGCTAGTCATTAAATTGTAGTTCTGCAAATAGATGCGTATCCTGCGCTAAGCTTAGTGTTGGGTTTTGCCTAAACCTAAAAGAAGTTTTGACATTTATATTAAAAAAATGTTTATTTGAGCAACTATAAAGGTCAGTTAATGTTTATCTTCATGATTTTTTATAATTTTAGGCTTCTTAAAGGCAGAAATGGAGACCATTATTTCCTCTTTACCATGTTAGTTTCTATTCCTGTTTCAAGCTATGTTTGATGGAAATAGGAATTGAAGCCAGTGCAGAATGAGCGGTTTTTAAATGTTGCATTTTGCTATTACCCCCGTGCAAAAGCGCGCGATCAACAGAAATCAATTCGTGGTCGCACAGCTTGGATTTGAATCCTAGAAATGCTGTTTGTAGCGAGCGTGGCTTGCAGCAAACGCCACGGATTTTGCACTGGGGGAGCTGCCCACGTCGCGCTCGCTCTGCACGTGGAGGAGGAGGAAAAGACCCTTGCACAAAAAGCGCCTTTCCCCTTGCACAAAAAGCACCTTTCCCCTTGCACAGAGCGCCCAGGGAGATGCGGAGATGACGCGAGAGGCTCTTGCTGCCAAAACTCAGTTTGCCACTTAAGGGACTTGTGCAGAGGACTTGTCATTCCAGGCTGTGACCTGGGCCCCAGGAGGAACTCTAGTAGCGATACACAGGTTTCTTGCTTGTGTGTGTTATAAAAAGCTTCTGTCCAAAACGGGTGCAGTTTAAGGCTAATGAATTGTCTTTAAATGGACCTCTGGAAGCCGTGAGAGCCGGGCTGCCTTCCCGAGTGTGTCGTGCTCAGACTTGTGGTCCCTGAACGCTCTGCAAATGTCCCCTGGCCGCGAGGGACCATTCGATGGTGATGGGGAACCCTTGTGTGGGAAATGGTAGAAACGGGTATTTTCAATCATGTGGCCCACATCCCTTGGTGCCCTTCCCATGGGATGTAGACGGATGAGATGTAGAGAGATGCCTTAGCGTGAAGGCAGGGGATCAATCCTCCCTCTTCCTCCTCTGTTTGTTCCTTGCGAATTCCCGGGGTGAAGCCTCTCCTCACTGTGTGCAGCTGTCTGCACAGCGGCGATCTTCAGCTCTCTTCAAAAATCCCTTCAACTCCTTTACTTACGTCTCGCGTGTTCTTTCATTCCGACGTTGCAAGGTGATTCGCAGTGTCAGAAACGATCGGGAAGGTCCCGCGAGCAGCAGGACCCTGTTCCTGTTGTGACCAGGAGGTGAAGGTGGTGCTGGAAGAAGCCTCGGAAGCTGCTCTGAACCCCAGAGCTCCCCGCGCTGCCTCCTCGTTGCCTCGGCCTTGGGCAACGTGAGCGTGGGACCAGGTCTTGGAGTCTGGATCGAGCTCTAGCTTGGACGTCATGAACGGTTTGGGAGTGACGTTGCCTCTGATTATGGATTATTCAGTTATTGGGTACTGATGCCATGAAGTTGTCATTGTGAGAGTGAAATGAATCAGGCGTTGGTATGTTATATATTGTATAAATGGTATATATTGTATAAATTGTGTTTTAGTTGCCTTTGGGAAGGTGCTAGTGCAGCCTCTAGCCTTAGAGGCTGAGGTCCCTTCCAGCCTGGATTAATTTACGATCCTTTGACCTCCAATACGTGGAGGTGCAAGTACAAAGGTACTGCCCGTGCAAAAGTGAACTGATCTGGAGAGCCTCCCTGTGTGGATGTCTCCTGAGCAGCTGCACGGAGGCCCTGCTCCTCCTTGGAGACTCCTCTGTGTTTCCGTGATCCCGACGGCCTCCAGCAACAGTAAAACTGGCCGTGTTTGGTGGTTGTCCTAGTGAATGTTGCACACTCGAGTGTTTCGGGCTGTTGGCGGAGCGAGGCGGCAGGCATTGGTGCACTCTGCTGCATGGGAACGCCGGGATCTTGGAGAAATCCATGAAAACTGGTGCGTGGCGCGGCAGGAATCGCGGTGCCGGGGGTCGGCAGGGAGGGAAGCGCCGCCTCCGTCCTTTCCGTGCCCCAAGATCCCGAGTTCCGTGGAGCTGCCAAGGGAGGTCCTGCGCCCTCCATATGGAGCCTTTGATATCTCGACCTCGGCCCCTTGTCTGGCTTGTCTTTCCCAATCCCTTCGTGCAAGCTGCAGGAAAGCAGAGATAATTAATTTGGGCTGTGCAATGTGCTCCGTGGAAGATTTGGACTCTGCCTATCTCCCCTTGACCAAGGACTGACAGGCTTTTTTGTCTTGTTTTGGTTTGGTTTAAATGTATTAAATTGGAATGTACATTTATTGCGGAAAGAAAAGCCAGTGATTTATCTTGTAATTCTTCCTCCCTTTCTCCCCGTTTCCCATGAGAGCATTATATTTAATTAGTTTGTATAAAGCTCCAGTAAATAGCTTCATGGTTTGGGCGACAGAAATTTAATACTGGAATTTTTAACAAAGTTGATGGTTCAGAAGCCGTTTCAGCTATCAAGAAGCAGTCCCCAGCAAAGGGTAAAAGTCTTCTGCAAATCCTGTGGCTCAGTTCAAGAAGTGCCAGGAATATGAAAAATAAATGAGTTAATGTGAACCAAAGCCAGCCCAGCATGGAAGGGGCCGCAGGTTCATCTGGCTGGGTCCAGTCTTGGGATTAAGAGCCCGACAGGAGCAACTTCAGGCAAGTCCTCCAGGTGCTACCAAGTTCAGGCAACTCTGCGACATTTCCAAAGCGGGGGATGAATTTCCAGCAAGTCCCTTTTTCTTTTCCAGCTGCAGAATGGCCGTGTCCTTGATGGTATTTTATTTTTTTTCCCTTTAGCTGCTGAAATCGGTAGCCTTCTTGATAAGGCTCCATCTTTTCCCTCTTTTGGCCGTCTCAAAGGATGTTTGGCTGCTTTCGATATAACTCTAACTGCTCTTAAATGTTATTTCTTGCTGGTAACGTAACCACTTGCTACTGGCCCTAAAGCCTTGGACCCCGGCATTGAATCAGTTAATTGATGCTTGCAGGGGGAAAAAATGAAACAGGGGCTGGGAATTAAAAAGAAAAAGTCATTTCCTCTGTGATTTGAATGTGGGGCAACGTGGTGTGTGCAAGAGCTGGGAGTATCCAGGCATGCCGTGCGGATCCGTGCGCGCGTCCGGAGCGCCCGGAATGCCGCCGGCCTTCAGGAGGAGCGGGAGCGAGGGCGGATGGAAACGCGCTCCGTGGAGGGGGCGAATCCCGGCCCGTGCGCCTGGAATGCTGCTGTTTAATGGGGTGAAACACCCGGGAAGCCTCGCGCTTCCCTAGGGTTCCCGCTCTGCTCTAATGCGCGTTTTTATATCACGGTGTGAAAATGTGGGAGAAACTCCTGGGTCCTGGGTGTGTTCAGCCAGCCGCAGAAATGGTGCTGGTTCCCTTGATTTCTGTGAAAAGCCCTGATTTAGGCAGGGGAGGCCGACTTGCTCCGCTAGCGCCGCGGCGCGTGAGCAGCTCCTGGCGTTTTGACTCTTGGAGTGGGCCAAATAAGCAGATTAGCTCTAAACCCCGAAAGGATTTTGCTCTGCGGCGGGGAAATTTGGTCAGCGCTGCTATTTTTGAGGCTTTTTTATTGCCGAGCTTTCCAGGAAGAGCGCTTGGGTTTCCATCCTTGTCCTCCCTGCTCCGAGGAAAACCAACCCATTCCCTACTGCAAGGAAAAGCGAGGAACCTTTGGAAAGCAGCTTGTGTAGCAGCTCCTTCAAAGCAGTTACCCTTGGGTTGGGCAATAGGCATTGGTGTTTCCCTGTGTCCGTCATTGGATTTCGGCGTTAATTGACCCTCTTGCTGCCCTTCTCAGCAGGCAGCGAGTGATCTGCACAGGGCAGGAGAAAATCCCATTGAAGGGCAATTTCAAGGAAGTTCCTGCGCTCTGGCATATTGCACGGGATTGCCTTTATTCTGGGCATATTCCAGATGCCTGCAGGACGGAGTTGAAATACGGTGGGATAAAAGGCTGTCCTGCCCTTGAGGATGCTCCTACC